CTGTCGTCGATATATTAAATAGACATTTTGTAATTATAATGGTCTTAATGACTTGTTATCTGTAAACGTTAAGCATTAGCTCCGTTTAAAATGCACTTCAAAAAATTTTATAATAGCCCAGCATTGCAAGAAAATAATTTCTATTCAAAGTAGATCGGTAAGTGAAAGTTGTGTGTTGCGCTCACCAGATTTTTAATTTTTCACGCAGTGATTAACTTTTTGGCCTATTTTATAATTTTTGACTTTGCTATCAAAGCCGTTTTCAAGTCGCCTCATTCTTTGTAATGTGTGATTTTTACTTTCACTTATGAAATATAGAATAAAGGAAAGTATTGCGATCTTGAAAAGTCCCCATTAGTCGAAATAACCATGTCCCGCAAAGTGCGTGGGAGAGTGTTAAGTCTAGCTCAAAAACGAAAAGTCGTATGAAAATGAAATTGCATATCTAAGATTTTTATATGTATGAGGTATTACAGCAAAGTTTTCGTGAAAATCGGCTAACCGAAAGTGGCACTTTATATCATCGATTTATACATATGCTGTTCATAAATGTTTTCGTTAGTATTATTTAATAATTAATTTTATAGATTACAGTGATATAAATATTAAAATTTGTATATTTAAGGGTACTTAAACAAATAAAAATACACACAATGAAATATAAATGAATATAGCGTTTATAATTTTTACTTTCACTTCCTCTTTGTCTGAAAATACTTATTTCTACTAAGAAGAGAACGGTAAATGAAAGTTGTGTGATTCATGCTCCGCATACTGCGTTCAAAGCATTGAAATAATTTTATCTTGCTTACGTCACTTGTATTTAATCATTTAATTTATATTTATTCAACTTGAGAATGTATTGTTACGAATCCAATATAATAAGTTCCTGATACAATCTTATATAGGAGTAGATGTAGCTATTAAAGGTGTTCTGGAAGTTGTCATTAATAATTTTTTGTCTGACATATTTCTCCTGAATAGTTGGATTAATGATTGAGTAATAAGTCGTTTAAAAATATCATTAAATAACTCAAGGGTAATTTATTTCCTTATTTTAGGATTGCCCCATGATTGGCAACGTGTATGTATAATAAATTTCTTCAATTAGTAATGTTTTCGAATCGAACTTCAACTGATGCCATTTATACCGAAGTAAGTTTCGCGAGTTAAAAATATGTATGTCCCGTAATCCAGCAAATTATATGAGGGGGAAAAACTGTCTAAATGAATAATACATTTTAAAACAACTTTCCCATCCACCTACGCTCTAATTAACGTGATTCAATATAAATTTTATATAAGTATATTTTTAGTCGATGCATTTTTATTATTAAAGCAATTATCTCTCTATTGACTTTTGTTTTCCCCCCTGTTGTCGGAATAATTTAAATGACGGGAGGCCTACACATAAATGAAATTAGTGAAGTGATTTGGAATATTTTATTCATATCAGATAAACTTAACGCGACAGTCTCCTGTTTAATACGCTATAACAAAAATAATTGAAATGCGTTGAAAAATTTACCCTTATCCTCCTGGATTCCTATTTATTATTCTTGTAAAAAAACATTTATAATTTACCCTATTTGAAAATAAATCATGACTACTGGATGTTAATTTTTATGTTGCTGTGTTCATTCCGCTTTTTCTCTGATTAATATATGTAAGCAATTGTTCATTAATATTGTTTTTAAATGCGAAGGTGTGTAATTATTTAAATCAGACAAGTTTTAAGTCGAATGAAAACATCGAATGCGATGTTCTTGTCTCACATCAATACTCTGCTTGAACGAAGTCCCAGTGTACATTGTAACTGATTGTTCCTGCGCTTAGTACTTCTTTAGGCGTAATTTATTCCGACAACGTTACATCATCATTTCATTCAGAGCCGTATTACCGTATTCATGCTCATCGGAGTTGTGTAGCCATCTTCATTCCCTGTTTGACTAAAATTAAAAATATATCATTAAATTAAAATATTTAAGGCGTTTTTCTTCTACTAATGTATTATATATGTATAGTTATAGTTATAGATAGCGGAAAATAGGTTTAAATCGACTAAGTATACAACAAAAAAATTGTGCATTCATGAAACTTTGGTAAAAACTTATGACCAGATTAACAATAATAGTTAATATAATCCTAATGTCATTCGTTAGATATAAAAAATCTGGTGTGTCCACTCACACGACTTTCCGACCTATTTCGGAAAAGTTTTTATATCTTTACATATATCCATCAAGAAACAAAAAGAAAATTTAATTAGATTTATTTTTCTGATAATCAAAGAAAAGATTTGAGTACGATTTATTTGATAAACTAAAGCAATGTAAACCGGCTTAAGGTAGATCAGTTTAAAAATTTCAATGCCCTCTAATATTGCTGATCAAAAACTTTTTGCTATAGCCTAATTTTGTCAAACAATAAATTCTGTTAAAAGTAGAGGAAATAGTGAAGCTTGTGAGATTCGGGCAACAGATTTTCTTACTTTCACTTAGTTATCTTTTTTCTCTCATTCATCCCTTTTTGACACAGGATATGTACCTATAATCCTATATTGGAAATTGAATAGCTGTAACTTCGTTAATAGTTTTATGAAATGAACGATTTTTATATAGTTTTGTAGGAAAGGGCTCTGAAACGTATAGATTCGTTCGGAAATTTGACCCGATCGCAATACTTCCTTACCTAGTATAGGTAGGAAGGTAATAAATTAAAACATGTGTAGAAAATATAATAAACTGTATCATCGCTACTATTGGTTCGATTCCGATGATTTTTTTTGTAATTTAATTACCTTTCAAAAGTGTTGCTATAAATATTACCATAGAATATATACTTAGCGAGTTAGGCCCCAAAACATTTTTCTTTTCTTAATAACTTTTTCCCCTAAATTTTCTCAGGGATTTAGTCCATGTACGAAAATTGAAAGGACACTTATTAGAATATTATAGAAAGTTTCCATCAAAATCGTTACAGCCGATAAGTCTTTAAAAAAACATGTATTTCATTTATTACACTGCAGCTATTGTGCATGGAGCATCCAATTTGTGTCACAGGTATCAGTAGTCAAAACCCTACAAAATATAAAAAGAAGTAACAAAATTGATTCACTATTTACTGAGAAAATATTCGCTCAGACTGGCAGGCAGACTATTGGCTAAAAATGTGTTTTTCGAAGTCAAGGAGCTCTGAAACATATAGATCTGTCGAAAATCGCATATCGGAAATTTGGCCCGATTGCAATACTTTCCTTACCTTGTATAGGTAGGAAAGTAAAAAGGAATATATAATATAAAAAATATTTAAATATAATATAAGACACAGTTAAAGATTCCGGCTGGACTTTTCACTTTACTGACTATAAACTAAATACTTATAAATGATAGCAAGGGAGATGACGTGCGTAACGGCTCAGAGTGCAGAGAACGAGATCAGCTCGTTTTGGGGGTTTATATACCGTGTATAAAATGCTGATGCTGGAGTAAGCAGAATCGTATGAGGTGATGTCTGGATGGCATGATTTAGGGCTATAACTCACACCACAATCAAAATAAAATGTTCCTTTTTATTAACAGAGTATATACATACATGAGTATAACAAACAAGAAAATATTTTTTAAAAAATGAATAAAAAAGAATAACTTAACTTAAGCCCAGTCCAGCAGCAGATAAAATTGGCTATTATATTTCGATTTACTGGTGTTGTGAAACAATTTGGACATATCTCTCTACTCCGACTTCCAGATGATTATCCATTGTAGGCTAGATCCAAAATGCGAGATTATCTTCGGTAGTAAAAAAAATTACACATATCTCTATAATTTACCTTTTTTTAAAAAATGGAGTATTAAATAAAAACGAATCCTTACCGATAAGACAGAAAGCCTCTCCTTGGACTTTTCAATCGATTTTGTTAGTTTTTTTTTTTTTTTCTCTTGCCCTCCAAAATGTTTATTGAAACAATTTATATATATAGTATACAATAATACAATATATACATGTAATAAATTCCTTCTACTGCCCGAGGGCATAAAGATTTTGTTAGGTATTCTCAATCGTATATTATGGAATTACAAAAAAAGTACGCTATGCAAGAAAGACAAGTGACTATTCACAGTCACATGTTACATAAATAACTGTATCCATGGGTTGCCATGTTACAAACTTCGTCTCAGTAGTAGAAATCAAGATTTTTTTCTTCTTGGGATTAAGATTTTAGACAAAATCCTATTTTGAAGAAATCGAGTCCTGCAGAGTACGCCTTTTTTTTTTTCTAAATGGAACGAGACCATTCCCAGGACAGTAGAGCTAATATTTCCAAAGTTATGTTGGATTGAAACTGTATAAATTGATGTTTTAGTGGTCCTTAAAGACCTGTTATAACAAAACTAATTAAAGAAATATAATTAGAGGAATATTTTTTTAGTACTACTTCGTAATATGTGCTTACATTTACTAGTTGTATTATTTATAATCTTTGATTAATTAAGCCTTATAATTTTTAAAAATTTGTAATTTATATCTATTTTGTAATTTATATACTACAGACCACCCAATTATAAATAAATAGACAAATATAGACCTTTAAAAAATAAAATATATTTCTGTATTGGAGGATCTGCCAGTGTGAAGAATTCTATAAAATTAAATACCTCATTATACATAAATCAAATCGGACGGTTGTTTATTATTTAGTGTATTTAGCCGTGTAAGAGCTACCGTTAGCTCTTTTTTTAAACCTGGCATAATCTTCTTTGCACTTGAGCCTTTTGTACAGGATAATGGGGATTCACTTACAAACCTATGAGGCCTGCTGTGTTCAGCGTATTACTGTCAAGTTTTTTTGCCGGAACCCTGTTAGGAAATTTGTGAGGCACCCGGACTCAAGACTTATACCTGGGCCAATTGTGTCACAACAAGGCAGCACCCAATACAGCTCTCCGTATCTCCGGGCTGGGGTGTGGTCTCTTTTATAGCCAGCCTGCTTCTTATAATTATTTCGTTTTCAGCCTTCCTGTCCGTCCGTCAGGAATGGGATCGGGGAACGTGTGGCGCCACAGAATCCGTTGGTCCATCTGTAAGAAACTTGACATCCGGATAACTTAATGAACCAGACCAATGATTTTGAATATTTTAAATTAAAAATTAATACTAGTTTTATTTTTCCCATTATATGAAAATAATATTTTTTCACATTAGTGACTAGAACACTTGATAAATACTCAAAACGCCTATTTTTTTTTTTTTTCCTGTATGAGATAAGCAAGTTTAAGTTTACAATCTGAAATCCAGTTTTTAACACTGACCTTAAGAATTATTGTAACAGGAAACGTTTTAAACCTGCATTAAACTACACCTAAATATAGTACTAGGTTTTTGTTTGATTTAAAAAAAAAAAAAAAATTAGTAGTTGGTTTTAGAAAAACAACATATAATTAGTTCTATGAGATATAACGGTGCCGTAAATATTGCAAATATGCTAGGCTTGAAGTAGTTATTTGAATTCCTCTTTATTCGAACGGGATCTGATTTGAATAAACCAGTGCCTTGGTGGTTTCTAGTTTTATGGCATAATGAAGCAGTCCATGGGTTTATAAACCTGTTTCCCATAACGTAAAACGATAAAAAACAAATTACCGAATACCAAAACCTTTGAGCATTGTCTGTGTATTACAACAGACAAGAATCCATATTTCAAACAGAAAATAAATTATTTAAAAATTATTATTTCCAACCTAATCTGTACCAATTCGATACGAGTCATTTTAACCAGTCCAAAAACAATTTTGAACCTAAGGTTTTGGATTTTGGTAAATTGTTTGTTCATTTGTAGCATGCATTAGTGATACAAAACCTCGCAAAGTTAAATGATATATTTTATTTTACAGTAGGGAGCCTTACAAAAATATCACTCATTATGAATGATTAAATGCTTATGTTTATGACTAATAAGTTGAGCATGTGTATTGTTACAAATCTGCTACATTGTATTGTAGGAATATATTATTGCTATTTTTAAAATTCCTTTAATGTATATTTATTTGATTTTTTTTTTTATATATCTTCTCAAAGTCAATATTTTTTATTTATGTTGTTATGCAGTTGTTTTTCCTTTTCTGTTTTTTTACATCACAATTTATATATCTAGTTCATCTTATTTATGAATATTTCTCCGATTTATTTCTATATTTGTATAGTACTTTATTTTGATCATTTTTTATGTAGTAATGTATTTAATGGAGCCAGACCTCCTGTAACTGTATATATTAATTACGAAATACAGAATTTTCATTCATTCATACAATCCTGAAGATGTAATTTTTATTATTTGAATTTCTGAAAATGAAATGAAAATAAAATTTGGAAGGCATATGAATAATACTGGCCATAGAATGCATCTCCTCCCTTCCACCAAAAAAAATATATATATAATCTATTTAATATTAATTATTATTTAAATTGTATTTCAAATAATATGTCTCTAATTCAGTTTCTTTATTAACAGTCTAAAATTAATTATTTTCATACCCTCTTTTTAATTATTTTTTAATTACTAACAAGAGTCAAATGTCCGGATTAAAGGCCAGCCCTAAGGGCGGCACTGCAGGTAAATTTTGTTATCTTTTTAAATTGAAGTCCGTGGCTAATCGGAAATCGAATGAACTATTTAACTGATGCCTATTGGATTCCAAAATTTGTGGTGGAAAAAAAAAATAGACGCCCTTGTTCCTGGTCTGTTAGCAATGAATCGTCTGGTCAAGGGGCGAGACGGCATAAAACCCTAGGAGTGACGTTTCCATTACATCCTCGGACGTCAGCAGGTATAGAGGAGGATCATGGACTAGTTGGCTCCCATTAGTTAAGCAGGAGTCGTGTTAGTTTTGCCAAGTAATAAGGCCCTGCCAGCCCTTATAATTTGTTTTCCTTGTTAGTGTGTGGGGACCACGTGGGCCAGCCTGTGACATCTTTACATCCCCGGCCCTCTGGAGCCATGTCTTCTCTCAGTCCGTTTCCACCTTCGTTTAATTTTTGTCCCTTGTTTATTTTATAATCACACGTTGTTGTTTACTTCACTAAACCCGGATTGCCAACAAGCAAGGAGGGAGAAAAAAAAAAGCTGTTTATTTTTATTTTTTTTGCTACTCGGTTACTAGAGCCGAAGCTCGAATTTTTTCAAGAGGAGAGCTTGAAACTTAATTCCTCCCCTTTCCCCTTCATTGGCCCCTCTTTCTCTAATAAAATACTGTTATTTAAGGTAATCATCACACTTAAATTTATGTACATCCTATATTTGTGCAGATATGAATATCATTTCCTCATTTACATTAGGTTGTTTTATTTACTGAATTGAGGTCAAAATAATTAAATATCGAAAACCAATGAACGAAATTCGTTCGAAATTAGCCTCTCTCCAAACTCTGCCGCAGTGTAGAATGAGAACTTTAGCACAATATCGGTATCCCTCAAAATTAAAAATTTCTGTTTCACTGATTCTTAGAAAGCACTTCAAGATTTTCCAAACAATACCCTTTTTATAACAAAAAGAAAACTTGATTTTTTGTTTACTTCTTCTTCCTCGAAACTGCAATGTTTCATCAAGTGTGGAGTTGTAGTTTCTATCCATCTAGCCCATGCTTCTTGTCCTGCCAATCTTCTCACCTCCGGGATGATGCGTCCTCTTGCTGTCCCCAGTAACCAATATAATTGCTTACGATATTTATAGGAATAAAATAATTTAAAAATTATGGTCTACAACTTGCTAATCCAAATTTTCAACGTCCTACGCTTGTATCACCTTGGGTTGAGCCCTCTTGTTCTCTACGTACCATGTTGCGTTTTCATTACGAGTTTATGTTAACAGATGAAAAAATGTCAAGGTAATTTAGTCACGTTTAGAGATGAATATTTTTGTTGCATTTATTTATTTGTTTTAAATTATTAGGATGATAAATAGTCAAAATTTCATTCTAAGTTTGTTTCATTAAGCTTGCCGACGTTTTGACCCATCATCGGAGGAATATAAAATATCCAAGACAAGAAGATAAATATTAAATATAAGATAACAGTAAAATAAAAATTATAGTACTCCAAGAGAGACAGAAAAAAGAAAGAAAAAAACGTAAATAGAATAAATCAATTAAATAAATACAATAAAAAAAAGTAAAAAGAAGAGATGGATTTTAGAATTATTAAAGGGAATCGGAATACTATATGATGAGATTTAGTAAAAACAATATGAATTAGTATATGGAGCAGCACATGGAATCATATAATTAAATTTAAACTGACTTATATGATTAGTTACTTCATATGTTAAGCTACTATTTATATTAATTATTTTTTATTTAATTATAATATTATTCCATCTGTTGTTCCACATACTTACTCATATTGTTATAATAACTCCAATTCATTTACTCATACCTCAAGTTGTAATAAGCGTACTTCATACTTATTTTGTTTATTTATGTGTAATATTTATTTATTTTTCCTATTTTTCTTTTATTTTTTTTATCTCTCTTAGTGTACAATTTTAATTATATTACTGTTATTTGCTTACTTCTCTTTATCTTATATTTCTGATCTTTAATTCCTTTAATCTTTAGCACTGACGATAATCCATACGCTTGGTCCGAAACGGCGATAGGCTGTGTCACAGAAATCTATTCAGAAAATGTTGACCATTTGTAATTATGATGGTTTAGTGTCAGTGAATCTGAAAGAAATCAATCTCACAATTGAATAATCTACGGTGGAAGTTGTTATGTTAGAGTACAGATAAAAAAAATAAATAAATAAAAAACGAATCGTGGAGCAATGTAAGGAGGAAAATTATGAAAATTAAAGATAGCCCGAAACCACAACACATACGTATCTCTGAACATGGAACACTCTATTGTACTGTCGGGACCTTTTATTTTATCAGTTATACTTTTAATTTTCCATCTGCTTCGGTATTCAGCAAATATGATATCAAGGAAAATAAATTAAAACCTCCCAAAAAAAGAATAATAATAAAACAAAACAAAAAAAAAGTAGTAAAATGAAAATAAGATAACATAATAACACAAAAAAGATAATACAGCTCAATGCAATAAGTCTCTTGGCCGACGCTTCAGCAGTCTTCTGGGCGATTTGTGGCAGTAGATAGAGCTTGAGTAAGTGGATTTAAATTTAGAGTTAGTCAGTCATGAAAATTACTATAGCGGTCTATGGCAGCTGCTGTGACGAAAGGAGTGCCAGTGTGTAACGTAAGGTTTGAAACATAAAAGGGGAGTCTACAATTTTCCGAAGGACCTTAAGATACTGTATATATTCTTTAATATTGATTAATGTAATTTTTGGCCAGATGTAGTTTTAATTTTTTTGTTCATATCTGTTATTCATAAGGGACCTTGTCCCAGAATAAAGTTTACTTTCTAAAAAAAAAAAAAAAAAAAAGAATGCAAGACAACTTGCAATTTATGCAACTTAGTCAAGACTGGATACCGCACTAGATAACTGTTGAAGTAATGTATAGAAAATATTCCAGTTTAAAAAAATCTCCAGAGTTCACACTCTATCATTACATTTAGTAAATTTAAAGAACATAATTTGCAAAACATTAACTCAGAGTTCTGGTACCGTGTTGTGGTGTATTGTATTAAAATTATATGAATTGTGTATAGTATTCTAGTATTATGTAAATATATAAATTGTAAAAAAAAAGTATGTAAAATGCTAGAGACTCTCTTCATGTAAATGCATTTTTATAAATAAATAATGATTTTAATATGAGCACGAAGGTGCGTGAACATCTCTATTATATAATTATTATTGAGAATGCTAATGATGAGGAATGACAAACATTGAGAAGTATGTCGACCGCAGAGGAGAGGAGCTAGCTACTAAGAGCCCGGAAGAATATATATCTGCCAAGATGAGTTATACACGGCCTTCTCCCCTGGTTGCCCTTTCACGCTGCCCTCTGTCGTCGTAATTAATGGTCTCTGTTCCTCAAGCAAAATCTACAATTTTCATCTTCCCTCATAGCTCCTTTACATCTCGGGCCTCGTTATTATTATTTATATATATCTCAGCCGCATTGCAATTTAAATTATCCTTGTTGAGTAAAATAGCCACGCAAAGAGTTATTTACCCTTTTAAATCTTATTTGAGTTTATTCAGTATAGGCATTCCGAAATGCTCCTGCTTTTCAGAGGCCAACTATTGTTTATCTGAATTTTTTTTTTTTAATTAATGATTTACACTACAACAGTTAGCTAGCTTTCGTGTGAACTATAATGGATACTGGTATTAACTGAAAAATTCGAACTAGAACATCATGAGTCTCAAACATACAGCTGAATAGTTAACTTGCCAACGTTTCGCTAATCATGGCAGAAACAAATCAGACAAGAAAGAAATAAAAAAAAAAGAAAAGAAAAAATATATGTTGCAATGGGCGTCTCACGAAGCCAAAAACATACTGATGGAAACACAAGGCTCTATTAACGTAGCTAAGGAAGGTTATATTGAACAGCTGGGTAACAAAAATACAAGGATGAGCAAAAGGACGCAAAACTAAAATATGATAATACAAAACGTGTTAAATTAAATTGATTAAAGAGAACCAACTTGAGTTTAGTTTTTCATGCTAAAAACAGTTTTAACAATTCTTAAACGAAAAACTATAGGTGCTATGGTATGGAATAATAAAATAAACAATTTATGGAGCAAATCACCAGGATTGAGACTCTTCATCCCAAATGTTTAATAAAAGGTAAATATCTAGTCATAATCTATAGTTTTGAATAGGCACCTTCATAATATAAATTATTATTACTCATTTTTATCAGAAGATTTGAGATTTTTTTTTCTCATCATCTTTATTGTCTCTTTTAAATATTTCACAAATTTATAATCAGCTAAATGTTGCTACCTCAATCTAGGGATAAGTTTCTTCATATTTGTGCTCGATTGCTACGGCGTAATGGTTAGGATTGTTTAAATGAAAAGATCAATTTGATGAACCTTTGATGAGCTAGGACCTATATTGAGGATGTCGCGTGGAGGAGGTCCAAGCCAGAGCGACCTAGGTACAAGGGACAGAGCAGGCGAGCAGATATTATGAGGAGATGTTCTATGTAAATCGGCCTCCTGTTAACAGCTAATAAGTCCTTTGAGAGGGAGCCATATAGTTAGCCCCGTCTTCTTGATGAGCCCGTGTTAGTTCTCTGTGACAAGCCCCCTTCACTGTGTCTATTAAACTCCTCCTCGACGCTTGTAACATGGTCTTTGACACCTCACTCTCTCGCCATTATATTGCTTCTAATGACGTCCTCCCATCTCGGCTACTGTCCCTGTTTCTTGCACTGCTTGTAGAGCTCCTGATTTCTGGCAATACTCTTAAGTACATGCGGAGATTTACATCTCTCCAGTCATGTTTAGTGTAAAAGGGGTCGAAAATATTTTTATTGGTTATGCCAATTCACTCAATCGACTTAAATCAAACTTGAAAATCGAACTTAGTGGTTTCTAAATTCCTCTAACCCTATTTACATTTATAACATGACATGTATGATCAGTAAATTGTTACGGACTCAAAGTAGACGAATGCTTGGAATCTAAAGGCCTCCTATGTCCCTCTTCTTGGAGTAAGTAGTAAGGACCGAAGGCGAGGCGGATGGAGATGTTGGACACAAATGTGACCAAGAATGTGAAAACCTCGATTAACACGAACGATGAGGATTAAGATCTTGAAAAACAAATTGAGTAACAGGAAATCTATAAAAAGACAATTTTCTGTTGGGGGGCTTTGTTTCGAAAATACAGGAACATTCCTCTTTTAACTGTTGGTTTTTAGGAAAAGCTGGGTGTTGAGAATAATCTACTTTCAGAGTATGACGGAATATATTATTTTGGACTCATCTCTATTAATTCTGGCCATTGCTTTAAGAAGGAAGAAAATGTGGAAAAAAAATTACTGAATGAATCATAATATTCTGTATTTAGGATGATGGTAAGGTAAAATTTATCTCTTTTGTTTGGTGATATTAAATACCGTTTATACGGGTCAGGATGTTGAGTTATTTTGCAAATCAGCATACTTGAGTAACTTTACAATTTTGTTGTATGAGGCGGATCATGGACAGTCACCCAACCAAGTACAAATACTTACCATGCTTCAAATTTATATTCTTTAGGAGAACTATTTTGGGGGCGGCGTGGCCTAATGGGCTAAAGCACCCTTTTAAATCTTTTCAAATACAGATTTGAAAAGATTTAAAAAGTACGAGATCGCGTCCCGGTGCCGGAGGGGACTATTTTAGTCAATTTAGAATCCTTAACTAGTACAATATTCCCGTAGGTGGGTAGTTTTTGATTGTTTAAAAAAAGATAAAGATGTGGAGATTTTTCTATGGGAATCAGCTTAGCCTCCCGTCATCTTTATTTATTATTTCTCAAACATTTGAGAACATTTGTTGAAACTCTGTTGGTACGACATTTATTCTTTAAGTCCTCATTTCTAATGGTTATGCTGACGCTTTGAAGATTATCATCTCCTTCAGTGCCGGAAAATAAACACACCTCTAGAGAACTCAGGAAAATAAGTTATGAAAAGATGAAACTTTGTTTGGACATAATTCAAAACTTATACAATTAAGGGTATATCATATCCACGATAAATTGTTGGTTTTCTAAAAAGTCCTAGGAAATGAAAACAAAAAATTAAAATTGAGCAATGAGTAACAAAAATTCAGCCTATTAAAATATGTACACATGGTTTGGTTTATTATTTTGAATATTAATAATTGTAAATTACAGAGAGAAAAAAAACTCTTCTCTCATTGTTTATTATATTATTTGCTCAGTGAACAAATATACTAAGCAAATTATTCGCACTGGTCTACTAGTTAATTTTACTTCAATAATAAACGACTCCGATTATTAAAATCATCACAAAATCATAAGGGATGTTCTCTTATATTCAAAACATAATTTTAATTTATTTTTATTCCGAACCCAATATTTCTTAGCTATATTTGTCTATCCTTCTAATTTACTTTTATTTTTGTTTCATGCCTTTGAAAATTATTGGAAGGAATCAGATTTAGAACAGAATTAGATTGTAAAAGGCCTGGTATCAGTAAATCTAGGCTGGGATGTTTATTAGGAGAGGAACTGTTATTAGGGGCGGTGAACATGTTTATTAGGGACACCGTTGGAGACGCAATGCGAGACACATGTTGCCCTACTATTTCTGTGTCCAACCTCTGGGATCCAGGATACACGGACCGCTTTTCTTATTTAGCATGTCTAGGAATTCTTGTCTGTAGGATACAATTGTTATATTTCTCGAGCTATGCAAAGGATTCTTGCGGAGTTTTTAAAAATGTCTCTAACTCAATATTAACTTTATTTAAAATATTTATCCTTATTTTCTATACATTTTCCCTAACTTTTTATCGACTTTTCAATCCCACAACTGAAAAATTCAGGATTTTGCGAAGGAGTCAGAAAATGCGTTTTTTATCTTATGACCATTTTCAAAAATTTTACCTTTAAGAAATTTGTTCAAATTTCTAACCAGATCGAAATCTGTTGGAGATAAATCTGACGACTAAGGTGGATATGGAAGGACTCGTTTAGGTCCTTCACTGTCTGTCGTGAAACATGAGATCTGACGTTGTCGTGTAATAGTATAGGTCCCTTCCGATTAATCTGTGCAGGTTGTTTTGATGCAATATGGCAATACCACTGCAGTACGATGTGGATGTGATTGTTTCATGCCTGGATAAAAAAGATAAATGAATTATTCGTGTCATTGACAAACACACCGACACAATTTTTTTTTTTTTTTTTTTTTTTTTAATTTCGAGTAGAGAATGTCAGTTCTGGTTTGATTCATTAAAGGAAAATAAATAAATGAAAATAATGAATCATTTTGTGCTGACATACATACCTTCAGAGGAAATTTTTTTCTTGTTTTGATGTCCTTAGTTCATTTTTGCAATTTCACCAGTTAACCCCGAAACACCCTGTAGATAAATAAAGTCAGTATTTTTAATAATTTGTGCTCGTAACCAATTTAAATGACCAGAGTGAAAAAAATGTTAAGTATCAATATTATTATATTAATATCCTAAGATCTTATTCATAGATTTATTCGGAAGATTGATTGTTAATAGGATGATGTTTAAATGATGTAAGAGACGATGTTTTATGTATAAATGTTGGCAAGAAATTCCTGGTAATTGATGGTAATTTTAGTGTATTATAATTAATTTCTTGAAAAATTGTTTATCAACCGAAGTTTTTTCTTCAGAAAAGAAAAATACATATTTATTTTATATATATATATATATATATATATATATATATATATATATATATATATATATATATAATATTTATAAATATGTATGTCTATAATCGTAATTTTTTATCCAAAGCATGCTATTTGCTACAACAAGATAATATGGAATTAGAAAAGAATTTTTCCGATTATACATTTAAAAAAATGAATAAGTGGTGATAAATATAATAGCGCCATGATTCGCAAGAGCAAGAGAAATATTTACAAGGAAATACGTAAATTAGCATAGACCTTTGAAGTCATTTACAACTTCAACGGGGATGAAAAGTTGCTGCTCATAAGAGACGGTTAAGAACCGCTGTAGGATCCCGCAAGATGCGAACTCCGCACCTTAAAAGGAAAACCATTCGAAAAACATAGCGGACACGTGTTCAAAACATTATGCTTATTAATACGAGGACAATTTTTTACTAAACGTCTTATTCTAGGTTCTGACTAATGATCGCTTTACTGGAGTCTCGAGGATTCATAGCAACATCAACGGCTTACGGAACGTATCCTCAATTTTATAACTAGTTTTCTTCGTCAGAGTGATACAAATATTTAATTTAATTTCGAAGGGATTATCTGATACGTCTATTTATCTTAAGAATAAACTGGAGTGAACTTGCTGTATTCTGTTAAGGTGCCCTCACCTGGGAAAACTCCTATAGCCTAAAAATCGAGGAAGAGGAGGAAAAAAATATATGAATACTCCATAAAAAGTTATTATCCAACTTTGTCAGTTTGCTGAATGTTTCAGGAGGAAATAAGAGTAGTTGAGGGGAAGATAGTCGATACAAAATTTAGTTGAATTAAACATTAAATCTCGATTCTTTCCTCTATTCGTTTTCGATTTGAATATTTGTATTTGTATTTGAACATCTAAAGTATATATAATACAGTAGTATATATATCCCTCTTCCTGCTCTCCATAGCGATGGATTTTGATGCGTCATGTATCAAACGAATGGGGATTTCGTGGTGAAATGACGAATTTGATCCTAAAATTCCTACTGCAACTTTATAAACAATCATTGAGAAATTCCAAATTTCTGATATTGATAAATCAATAGAAATTGTTTTTAAAAGTTTTGGACCCCCCCGAGACCCTCTGCGTAAAAGACCCTCTGCGATTTAAATCCCAAAAATATTTTACCTATAAATTGGTATTGTTATTGTTGCAGCCTCTGAGGTGCTATGATCACCTTGGAGAACTTATAACATATTAAGGTTTTAAAAATTAAAATAATGCTATTTAGGTTTGTCTTCGACGATCTAAAAAACTATTGAAAAATTAAATGGAGGAGATTAACAATTATGACCTCTTTGGTATTTCGGATAAAATAAATAGTAATACCTTGATATTATTGATAAATAAATCAAACATCCATATATGGCTTCCATACTCTCAGTAATAGACTTCTATACTCTTAGTAAATGAGAAAAATACAAACCATAGCTCTTCTGCACCAACAAATAGGTCTTGAACGATTACAACAATGGATTAACATAAGTTCATGGATAGAATTGTCTTATTGTCTAACTATTAAACTGAAGGGGTATTTTCAAATGAGACGAGCTAATCACTTATTAAGTAATTAATTAAATGACGAAGAGAGAACAAACAAAGCTACTGTCGTCTATAACAGTTCCAAGCTGCCAAAGAAGACTCATGACTTAAAAAGTCAACAGGTGTAGGAAAAAAAATACCTTATTAAGTAAATTGTTAATTTAAAATTCGTGATGAAGAAAGAAGTTCCGCTTATGTCTTTTATCCGTCAAATGCACTAGGAAGGATAATATCGAACTTAATGTGAGAGTTCTCACTGGGTTTCTATAGTTTTCTAAATTTAATTTTTTTTTTTTAATATTATTTATTGTCTTTTGTATTATATAAGGTAAAGTATAAGTATGAATGATTTTATTAACCATCCATCATCCACGGCCCTACTTGAGAACCACTGAGGTTGGGACCGGATGAACCTTGATTTAGTTGAGATCCTAACTGTCCCCTTTCCATGCACTACCATCTTATTTATTGCTCACATTCTTTTTTCCGTTTATTGAATTTTGGGTTTAGATTAACGCCCCTTTGAAGATTTAGGAGGAGACGTTTCCTAGTGTCTCACGTGGGCGTTTATGTTACAGCTTTGTCAGCCATTTCTTTTTGATGCCCTCGTTTTGTTTTAAACATTTTTAAATCTGAACATTTTCCTATTTTTTTTTCTTTCCGTGCATCTTATTATATCTTCTTTATACACTTTATACGATTTATACTCTTTCTTGTCCTTATATCTTTTATATTTATATGATGGTTTTGTGATAGGTAATAAGTTTATATTCCTCACTGGCTATGGATCCTGACTTTCTTCCTATTTATTTGTTTATTATTCATCGCTATACAGGCTAACTATGAACTGCTTGTATACCATTTCTAGTTTTTTTTCTCCCATCTATCTTATCCTTTCCTCTGTCCATTTCTTACCTTCTTGCTTTTTCATCTCCGCTACAAGAACCTTTACGTTTTTCACTAATTTCCTTATCTTGGTAGTCTTCCTCTTTGATTTTCATTTTTTCTACTTCCTCTTTTATTTGTACCGAAAATCCTTTTATGTTCTGCAGTCCCATAACTTACCGAGTATTAGTTTGTTTAACCTATTCCGAATCTTCCTATGCCTAAAGATTTTTTGTCTATTTTTCCTCATCGATGTTTCTCGAAGTTTTAAATATATTCATCCGCTATCCAGGACTCCATCTGGACAAACGTCTAACTTGGAATTTCCATACCAGACTGAAACGACAAGAAACTGCTTGACGTTTCCGATTACTTCCGTACTTACTGGACAAACGGTCTAAACTTCCAATTAATTACAAAAGACTCATACATGACTATAATAAGGCCTATTTGGACTTACGGAGTTGAGCTTTGGGGGTCCACTAAACCATCGAATTTCTCTCGTATCCAATCCTTACAATCCAAAATCCTTCGTAAAATCTTCAATGCTCTCTACTTTGTTACAAATTAAACCATCCATAATGACCTTAATGTTTCTTATGTATCCTTCCTTAATAAACTTCAGAATCATCCCAACCCTCTCCTTTCTAACTTTGCTTCCTCTACAATTCTTGATAACCCTCCGAGGCGTCTGAAAAGAAGATGGCCCCGTGATCTCCTAATGTAGACATATCACTAGAGTGTTACCATTGGGTAGTTTCTCAACAAGTATTTTCACGTCATTATGTCCATATGTTCAAATTTACTAAATGTATTTCTTTAATACAGATCTAAGTATCATTAAGAAATTAAAAAAAAAAAAACATGTTCATAAAACTCGCTGTCCTTTTTTAATCTGAATTCTTTTCCAACCACCCACCCTTCTTGGCCCGTATATCATTCTCGGTATCTTTCTTTCTATTCTTTGCACTGATTCCATGTTGATAAAAACCTTAGTCTCCATTCTGTAAAGTGTCACCGGGTTTATTTCTGTTTCGTATTGTCTAATTTTGGCTTTTCTGGAAAGATTTTTTTTGCTATACAAACTCCCGACTAAAAATCTTTATTTATTCAACTTTACTTACCTACTCTATGTCGTTTACATGTACTTCCCATCTACCCTAGTTCCTCTAGGTATTTAAACTGTTTACCGACGTGATTTTTCAGTATTTAGTCTCGATTTTTCTCGCTGTTCTCTTATCATTAGTCATTATTTCGGATTTTACAACAATATTTTTTACCCCGAATCTTTCTGCTATTTATTTTAATTCATTATTACGATCAACCACTTCTTATTATCTTTCAGCCATAAGTGCTAAATCATCCGCGAAAGGTAAGTACCTGATTTTTACTCTCTCGTTTACCCCCTATACTTGCACCAGACTTATGATCTTCCCAGAATGTTCCCATAATTTTTCCAACACTATATGAATAAAATAGATGATAGTCCGTCTCTTTGTCTTTTTAATATATATTCACAAAACCATATCCATTTCTTTATTAAGTAATTTAATAACTAAAAAACAAATTTTAATAGCAGATAGTTTTATAACATTGGCTCCCCTGAATAAATACAAAAATGGAGAAGGTGTTCTTCACCTCCGGAGTACAGATACAAAAATTGTTTTTTCATCTAAAATTATAGATTTTTTTTATTGAGATAATCTGATAGTGTTTTTAATTAAATGATATTATTCAGAATTTAATTAATATTACCTTTCTAAAAATGTTATTTATACTCGAAGATTATTTTAATCAAAATAAGCTGTAAAAGTCTTTACTTTTTTTTTTTTTTTTCAGGTGAGTACTTACTTTTCACTGGCGTATGATTTTTCCTTAGTGAGTAGCACAATTTATTAAATAAATTATGGTTTTATTTGAGTGTTTGCATATCCTTGGATGAATGTTACAACTCACCTTATATTTATATACAATCCCACGCTGTGCAGCGGTAGAGGGAGATTGAATTATGATTTTATATATATATATGACTACCGACTGACTGACATCAAGAAAATGTTTTTCTTTATGTCTTAAAAGTAAAACATTTTTATGTAAGGCAGAACTTTTGTAACCGCCCACTAGGAAAACTACCATACCTTTTATATTGTGACATTTAAAAAAAATTGTAACAGAAACCGTTAATTGAAATATAATTTACATTTTACAAAAGTATGTTTTGAAACGTAATCTAGTTAATGCCTTTTTGTGGTAAACTGTTGTTAATAAATTCATATACATTTTTAATAATTTATCGGATAATGAACTATTTCAAGTTATCAAGTTACTTTACAACGTAACCATTAAATTACGGTTCTGCTAGCATTCTATTTTTTTTCGAATACGGTCATTTTTTTCCTTTTGAAATTCGAGCAATAGGTTGATGGAGTCATCTAGAACATCATTGGCTGTAATCAAGGCAATCTTTTCCTCATCAATCAGAAATCACCCTGTCATTTTTCTGCCCCGGCACTTGGAAAGGGCTTTCGCGATTATTTTAAGCTTATCTGTTCTCTGCCTATTATTATTTTGGATTCGAGTTTAATTTTTTTTTTGTTTTATACTTATCCACAAAAATTTAATAGTCATATTTTGTACGCATTTCCATTGATTGGCACTTAAGTATATATTTTTTTAAATACTCATGCTCACGTATATATAAAAAAATGGTATTTAACCTTCTGAGGTGTGGAGAAAATATAAGCGTCAAAACCATAATTTTCCTTTAAAAAATCGCAAATTTAAGTTCATTCAACCAGACCAAAACCTTTCTATGAAAATATTTTTTTTTTTTTAGAACTTGTTTATTGAGAAATATTACAATCTATCTCAAAGAACATTTATATTACTTTTATAATAGTATTCAGAGATCACATTCACATTTTATGTACAATAAATAAAAATAAATTATGCAGAAATATAATATATATACAATAAATAAGAATGAAATAACCTAAAAATAAAAAAAGAACACATATATACCTATATACACTA